GTCATTAGGGGTTTTTTTTGTTTGTTTTTTGTTTTTTGGATAATGGCCATCTTAGCAAGTATGGGGAGCTATCTCAAAATGGTTCTTGTCCTTGATATTTTAAAGCAGTGGTCTCAACATGTGAGTCTCAACTACTTTGGGGGTCTCAGACCCTTGGAAAACACAGCTATTTACAGTATGATTCAGAACAGTAGCAAAATTACAGTTATGAAGTAGCAATGAAAATAATTTCATGGTTAGAGGTCACCACAACATGAGGAAATGTATTAAAGGGTTGCAGCATTTGGAATGTTGAGAACCACTGTATTAAAGGGAAAAAATGACTGTACTCTAGTTGTAAAGGACCACTGTCCATGCTTTAATCCTCTCCAAAGGTTAAAATTCACTTCAGAGCTTTTAGGTTAAAGAAAAAGTGTTTTATGGGCAAGTCCTTGCTTAGCAATACTAACTAAGGTGAGTATTAAACATATTGTTACTGGCCTCACATGCCTTCTGATTCCTGTCCAGCTGGGAGCTAGACTTAAAGCAAATGACCCAATCCTAAGTCCATGAAAGCTCAACTTCAGCACTGACAAAGAACCTGTGTGATGGAGCGGTTGGCTTTCTTGGGTGTGGGTGAAAGCATGAAATCAGACAAAGAGATAGAGGACCGAATCTACTGTTTTCTGTATCCTCCCTAAACATGAGTCCTGGGGACTAATGAACACCCAGATCAGAGGAGTGGAGTACGGTAATATGGGTATGGCAGGTGGTTTATGGTACCACAGTTTCTATGACAGCCTCCACAGCTGTGTACTAATTACCTCCTGACGGTATAGTCTTTGAGGAATGAGCTCTTTGCTGGAGACAGTGACATCTCAAGCTCAATTCTCCTCCAATTTATTAAGCTTCAGCCCTCAGCATGGTACAGAGCTCATGCAGCCAAGGGTATTCTTCAGCCCCACCTCCTTTTGGCCTCACCATCCTCCACGATTCAGTGCTCATCTCTCTAGTCTGCCTCCAGTGCCAGGGGAATGCTGAGGAATAACCCTCTTCCTTCCCAGCCCTGGCATGGTGTAGCCCAAGGACTTTCCCACCCCACAAGGACTCCTTTCCTAGTCAGCTTATCTCTCTTTTCCACACCTTAGCTCCTGTTTGCAGTCTTAGACTTGCCATTGTTAGTTTCTGTCATTTCTCATCCCTCTCCCGCCCAGCCTCTTATTCCCAGAGGGAGTCACTTCTGTTTTCAGACCCATCTGCTGCCCCCTTGCATTGCTGTTCCCTTCCTGCCCATCATTGTCTATAGGGACCTGAGTGCCTAGTCCATGTACTACTGTCCCATCTTTGAGAACCCCAGCTCTTATCATTGACATGTGTCTTTTACATTTATTTGCTATGTTTGTTTGAGAATCTTCGACATTGAAAATGTGACTGATTTAAAAGGACTGAATAAAGAATGGTACCAATGGGTCTGGCAGCCGCTGTTTAAATGGTGTGCTGCTGATAGATGTTTAGGAATGTTTTGGAAGTTGTGTCTCTTGATCCTCCAGCTGCCCACCTCTCTACACCAAGCCCTGTGGCACGCAAGTACATTTATGGTATCTCTCTTACATATATATGGTTGCCTATCTGGGTCAAACAGGTCCCATGCTTTGTGATACTTGCACAATAATAACATGGTGGGAAGCTAGGGTTGCAGAAGTCAAGCCAAGTCCTCACCCCTACCATGGTAACTTTGGGTATGATGTCTGTCCAAGAGAGAATGGAGTGAAGATGACCCACTCAAGCTGGCTTGTCATCCAGGACTCCCCAGGTGAGATTCTGATATCACTTCCGAGTTCCAATCCCAAAGCCAGTTCTATTTTATTTTTCAAGGAAAGGTTTGTGAGGTAACTAGAGGGAGATGACTCTGTTCTTTGGCCCTTGGATCTCACTTCCCATCTCTGAGAGGTAAGGTGAGGGACAAGCCAACACACAGCACTCTGATTCTGTTCTTTACAGTGCATTGGCCACCTCTTGACCTGTTTGTTCCAGCAGGTTGGAGTAGAAAGGGCCACTGGAGACCCTCTCCTTTCTGATGATAGAGAAGATGGGGTGGGGCTGTTGCTTACTAAGCCTCTCATCAAAGCACTATTCCCAGAATCACAGTGACTCCCACCCTTCACATTCTAAAAGGCTCTGTACGTATTGGCAGACACTGAAAAGATCTTTTGTACGGCAGTCAAGATGAAAATAGGAGCTGTTTCTTTAATTCTTATTATACAATTTAAAAGAAACTCTTTAATATTCCATTCAACTATTTCTTCCCCCTTTTATCTTTCTTGCTGCTTCTGAAAAGTAAATGTAGCCATAAATATGCAGAATGTGGAAAGCTGACTTTTCCTATATCTAATAAAAACCTTAGGGAGTAATTGAAATAACTTGGTGTGGGCAGTCAGGTTACACGCTGCATAATATCAAAAGAAAATGCACAGCAAGGAAAAGCAACAGAAAATAGGAAGAGGAGCTGGAGAATAAAACCAGGGCATTAGATAATGGTAACTATGGGAAACTAAAAATACCCTTTTAGAATTACTTTCTTAGAAGATCTGATGAGAAGCATATTCAAAGAAGCAATAATGCTAGACAAGTTGAACATTTGTATAATTCTGAGGAATGTAAATTGAAGAAAAAGAGCCCCCCCAGCTCCTATTCACTGGACTGACAGAAGCTGAGATTTTCCACTGAATTCACCATGCATTTCTTTGTTATGAGTCCCTCTTCCTACCTCCCCATTGCCTTTTGCTGTGGACAACCGGATTTTAAAGAAATGTATGTTGTTAAGACAGCAGTACACACAAGGACAACTGGCTACTCTTTGTTGCCAGGGGTACTTTTTGGAATATCTCCCTCTGATCTTCGTAGTTTTTATGAAAGACGATCAGATTTTGGGTGGGAAAGCAATGTTAGTATATCTGGGTCTTCTGAAAAGTAGAAACGTTGGCTCTGAGGTCACACACACAGAGGACAATTTTGGTGTGCATGCCTGAAGAGTCAGATTGCTTGTCACTGTAAGACCCAGTGTTTACAGGTAAGCCCCACTTGCCCAATGAAAAGATAACTTCCTGGAATGATAGAAGCTGTAGTACTTAGGAAATAATATGGTTTTACTCCTATACAAGTTGTTTGAGTGAACTATACTGGATGTGCTTGATCACATATAGGCAGGAGGTACACACAGGCAGGAAATATATCAGGGTGTATGCTTGCCCCTGATTGGACCTGATGAGAAATGCAGTGAATTATGGGTTTTGCCTTTTTGAACTTCTGCAAAACGTGACTCATGGCCATTCCCTGGGAACCCAAGGGTAGACCTGGCCAGTCTCCATCTTCTTGGCCACTATTCAATTAAAACTTGCTTCAAATTTGGCTCAGAATTGTAGAACTATTTTCTCTCTTGTGGATTTCAGGATTAACAACCACCCTCCCTTAACTGCATACCTTCATCCCATTATTCTTTCTGGACTCAATTTCTCTCTAGGTTTTTGCATACAAAAGTAAAACATTTCAGAAAAGAAGAGTTGGAAGGAAGAAAAAAATAATCACTATAAATTTTTCAAACAAACATCTTAGGGCATGCCCTACTAATCTTTCTTCTTAGATATAGCCTTCCCCTATTTAGTTTTCAAAGTGTGGTAAAAATTGAGCTATAATATCTAATTTCATGGTCTAATTATTTCCGTCTATTGTTTATCTTTCTGGTTTAATAATAGATTATTAGACATAATTTCCTAAAGTTGTATAATATTCCATAGAAATGAGCCTCTGCTTTTTCCCAGTCTGTATTGGAAGGGAGTCACTGTAGCACTGAGGGCTCTTTGAGCCTCTCACCAAAGCAGAGAAGTGCAAGAAAGGGTTTGTATCTACAGGGATTCACAAGAAGCTTCTATGTGCACTGTCCACTCCCTACTAGTTGTGTTCACAAGTAGAGCAAGGCTAACCTTTCTCTATAGATCATTGCAGATGGCAGGGCAGTGGAGGCATGACCTTCTTTGTGACCTGGGATAGAGCTCTTGACCTGTCCATGTCTCCCTTTTCTGAGCTGCAGCAAGATGGATAGCCTTGTACTTTCCTCATTCTGAGAAAAATGTTTTAACATATTGGGTAATTGAGTTGAGTACTATAGTTAGTGTGTACATTGTAAGTTTCCTTTCCCATTTCTGCTGTAACAATCTCAGAGTGATTGCAATCAATGCTACCTTAATTCTAAGGAAATATAATAATACCTGCTGACAGTGTTTATTGTGGAAAGGATTAACTGAAATATATATGAATACACAAACTTATACTGAAATATGTTTTTCAACATTTGGTGGGAGCTCAGTAAATGCCATCTATTATTTACTGGCTAAAACATCTTTGTCATTCTTAGAAAAGTGGGGTATTATTTCATGTAGAATACTTAAGAAATACGTTGTTTGTAGGTAACTCAGTTAGTTAAAACTTATGCATCTTGGATAATTTCTTCATATCTTTAGTCAGTGGGAGATGGTAACTCATGGCATTATCCAGGCTATGGCTTCTTAAGAAAGGGTCTTATGGACATTTTGAAGCAGTATACTACCTCCTAGTCCAATGTAGAGGGTAGAAACTCACATGAGTAAAGCTTAAAACTCTGACCTCTGCAGAAATGTGGAAGAACGCACCACTGGGCAGAGTGGAGCTTTTGCAGTGACCTTGGTTTGCCCTTGTTTAAGTGAGGCTCATTTAGGTCATATTTCTTGAGCCCTGTATCCCTCAGTTTGGCTTAGAATTACTAGAACTGTTTTCACTGTTGGGTGACTGATCTGGCCTCTATATTCCCTTGTCTCCATCCTGTTCCCTTTTCTGTGTGTAAATGGCTGGAAGGCCAGAGCACTATTCCCAGAAAGGGCAATGTTCTGGGAATGTTCTGGTTGTCTGATGCTAATTTTAGTGGTACTTCCAAATAAAGTCAATTCTTACAGGTGCTTTGGTGAAGACATAAGTGACAGGCTACACACCATTTCTGGAGATACTCTGGTAGTCCCTGTGATTGCAATGGTTTCTTTTCCTCAAACGATGGTAAATAGATTTTTCTTCAATTCTGCAACAAACATATAAACATATATTCAATATTAAGATACTCAATGATGACATTAAAATTTCTGTGGTGATTTTAGAAATTCAATAAAAATAAATTCAGCAAATACAAGCTTCAAAGACACCATTTCGTTACACTGTGAATGTATTGTTGGGTTGACTAAAGGCAAACCCTTATGGGAAGGGTATTGTTGATGATAATCAAAGTTTTGCTTTACTACAGAGCCTGGCAAAGCCATACCTTTCTAATCTTTCCACCAAGAGTTGCTGCAATTTCTTCAGTAATCATTCATCTTTACCATTCTATTATTTGAAAGTGGAACACACTCCCTTTCTTGGCTGCTGTGATGCTGTGGAAGATGCTTTTGCCTTGGGTCTGCTCTCTTCTGTATACAAATGTGTGTTGCAGAGCTTGTAGAAGCACGCATGTCCACATAGAATTATGAGTCTATTTCCCTGTTTCCCTTGTGCCTAGTGTCTGTGTCACTAGTCCCTGATTGATGCAATAGAACTAGAAGTGCACAGTGGCAATTTCTAGTAATCTTCATTAGGAAATACTTGGAAGGTAACTCTTGCTCTTTCTTTCCTCATTCCCTACCTCCATTCTGCTCCTCAAAATAGGAATGTTGCTGTCTTGGACTATGGAAAGGGAGAGGAGTGAGCTGGAGGAGCCCATGTCCCCTGGGAGACTGAGTGGAATTGAGCTTCAACTCTAGTCCTAAACTGAATGTCTCCGAGCTTTTCTGTGTGAGGAAAGTAAACTCATGTTAAGTCTCTCCAACTTGGAGCTGAGTCTAATATTAATGGACACATCGCTTGGAGACAAATTTGACAACAGTATTGGGTTATAATTATAGACATTTTAAGCAATTTTCTTGGCTCCCTTTTGTATTATCTTTGATTTTTCTATTTTATTTTGCCAAAATTTTTAATTTAATTTGAGTGTAACTTAATGTTATATTGCCTCTAATTTTATAGATTTCCTAAAATTTTTTGAAACAAGACTATATATAAATTAATGAATGATAATTTAACTCATAAATATTCTATCACTCTTAAAATACTCCATTTTCATAAGTTCCTATTTAACAGCCTTACATATAATCATCCTTTATTTTCAAACATTATGGAAATCATATTCATTGTATTAGGGAACTTGCCAACTGTTTCAAATCCTTCAGAAATGTAAATATGAATCATGTTTGGACTTTCAGAATGCATTGGAAGCAGCATTCAGGAAGCCCTACAAACAATACTTCTTAACCATTATAAAAGAGAAGAAAGAAATATAGAAGAAGAAAGTAAACAGAAGGAGCAGTCGCAAACTCCTATGAATCCAGTTTTATATTAATACAAAAAAACCAGATAAATACACTACTTCTCCACCTCTCAGCAAACAAAACCAAAAACAAATAACATCAACAGCACCACAAAACCACTATCACCACCACTGCCGCCTCCACCACCACCACCACCATCACCACTACCAACAAAAACAAAACACAACAAAAACAACCCTCTCCAAATTATAGGTCAAAATTTCTGATGAAATGTATTAAACAATGCTCAATAGAAAGTTACAAATTGAATATAAACATACATCAGAAATATTGTCCATCGTGACCAAGCTGGCTTTATCCTAGAGATGCAGGGATGGTTGAACATACTAAATTCATTAAATGTAATAAACCACAAAGTGGGCTGAAAGACAAAATTATATGCTCATTTCAATAACTGTAGAAAAATACCTTTGACAAAATCCAATATGCCTTCACAATAAAAATCCTAGGGAGAGTAGGACTGGAGGGAGCATTCCTCAATGTAATAAAAGATACATGTGACAAACTTATAGCCAACATCATCCTTAATGGTGAAAAACTCAAGCAACCCCACTGAAATCAGAAAAGAGACAGGGCTGCTCACTATCCCAGTCTTTTTTAATATTGTGCTCAAAGACCAACCAAGCAACAGATAGTAAGTGCTAGAGAAGGTGTGAGGGGAAAGGGAACCCTCATTAATTGTTGGTGGTATTGCAAACTGGTCCAGCCACTTTGGAAAGCAATGTGAAGAACTTTCAAGAAGCTAAAAATAAATATATTACATAACCCAGCTATACAACTTCTCAGCATATTCCTAGGGTATCTTATTCCACACAGACTTGCCCAGCTACATTCATTGCTACTCTATTCATGACAACTTGGAAATAGAAACAACTGAAATGTCCTTCAGTTGATGAGTGGATAATGAAATGTGGTACATCAGCACTATAGAATATTACTCATTTGTAAAGAAAACTGAAATTTTCAGGTAAATGGATGAACTAGAAAAAGAAATCACATTGGGTGAGGTGACCAAGACCCAGAAAGATAAACATTGCACATTCTCTTTCATCTGAGGGAGTATGTATACTGAAGTAAGTACAGAAGCCTGAAAAGTATACAGAGATCATGTATTGGGGAAGAGGATTGGAGAGGGGAATGACAAGGTACAATTGATTTCAAGGAGGAATTAAGAAAAATGGGGGTGGCACTTTAATTGGGGAAGGGGAGAGAGATGACTACAGAAGGAAGATAAAGTACAGTAAAGAGATCTAAAACAAGTCATTAAAATCATATTACTATCTACCTAAATTGGATATAATACATATAAATCTGTTTCTACATGTACATAGGTGGTTTAAAATAATATTCCATCTGGGATGACAATTCTCCCCCTAAAGAGCCGTATACTATCTAACAAAACCCAAACACCAGGTAAAAGATCTCTTTTGAGTTATTTGTCAAGATTATCCAAGAGACCCCAAAAATATTATAGGTTGTTACTGTTGCCTTTGGTTGCCTTCCAGAGATAAAAGGTAAGTCCTTATTGCTGGAGACACATACTTGTCATACTTGGGACCCAGATGACCTGAGCTGGGTCTGACTTTCAAGTCTCCTTCATGAATACCAACTTCTGCAGTATCAGATGTTGCTATATCATCTTCCAAGTGAGGGAATCAACCAGTACTCCTACCCAACTATGATGTATATGAACCACAACAATGACCAGGATGGCATGATAACCCTAAGTGCACAATAGTGGCATGCATAACTTGGTGGTAACCACAACTCTCTAAGGTCTTTTATTAATGTCTCCTTAACATAAAAGAAATCATGTCTGGTACTGGAACACAGGGTAATGAAGTCATAGATCTTGGAAGAGAACTGACAACCATCACTTCACTGAGACAACATAATTCCTAATTTTGTACCAAATATTTATTCTTGTGCCCACAGATAAGTTTTTACCCTTCATTAAAGAAACTTGTCCTTTCAACAGGTGGAGACTTACAAAAAGCCACAAATGATCAAAGTTAAGAGAACAAAAGTTCACATGGTACCCAGTTTCTACTGATATATCTGTAACATAATTCCTGAACCTAAAGTTCAGGAAACATTATAGAATAGAGGTAGAAAGATTATAAGAGCCAGAAAAATGGGAAGTTTGCTGTGAGATTATGTCTCCTAGAAATGTCAGAGAGGCTATACTCATGAAGTCCCATCAACATGGTAACCTAAACAAGACCCAATCAATAATGACACAAATGGACATGCTAATATGGTTGGAGGAAATCTCATGGGACCTCAACCCTAGACAAAGAATTACAGGTACCTAGGGAATGTTGAGATGAAGATAAGTAATCTTTCCCAGGGAAGGGCACCCCAATTGGTTACCTAATATCTAATACCATGTGGTCAGCCAGAGATCATACATGTGCATGTAGTCTTACACAGCCTTATAAAACAGATTATATATATATATATATATATATATATATATATATATATACATATATATATTAAATTTACATATATATTAAATTTGAAAGAGAGCAAGGTGAGGTACCTTGGAGTGGTTGGTAGGAAGAAATTATAAAAGTTATAGTCTATAAAAAGAGCTCTATGAAATGGGAATGAGTCTACCACAAGATCCAGAAATTCCACTCCTAGGCATATACTCAGAAGAAGCACATTCATACAACAAGGACATCTGTTCAACCATGTTCATAGCAGCATTATTTGTAATAGCCAGAAACTGGAAGCAGCCTTGATGCCCCTCAACCAAAGAATGGATAGAGAAAATGTGGTACATTTACACAATGGAGTACTACTCAGCAAAAAAAAAACAATGGAATCTTGAAATTTGCAGGAAAATGGATGGAACTTGAAGAAACCATCCTGAGTGAGGTAACCCAGTCACAAAAAGACAAACATGATATGTACTCACTCATGTGTGGGTTTTAGACATAGAGTAAGGGATTAACATCCTACAATCCACACTGTCAGAGATACTAGTAAACAAAGAAGACCCTAAATGAGACAAACTTTGTCCCTTGGAGAAGGGGAAAGGGTCACCATCCTCTGAGCAAATTGAGAACATGGGAAGAGGGGGAGGAAGCTATGAGAGTGAGAAGGGAAGAAAAGGAAGGATGCAGAGGTCATGAAGGAGCAGAAATTTTGAGTGAGGTGTAGATTAGAAGAAAGGACATATGACAGGTGGGATTTTAGTTGGGGGGTGGTAGAGAAGGAAGGGAGGGAGAAGGGAACTAGGATCGTCAGGTAATTCAGTCTTGTTTGTATTTCAAATATATAAAAAATAAATAAAAATAAAAAAAGAGCTCTATGTGAAAAAATGGGGGAATTCAGTAAAATTTTGGTGCTACAAACGAAGCTGTCTTGGATCTTTCTTCCCAGCATAACCATTTGATGTATCCTATTAAGTACCCATGGTCATCATTTATAGAGACAAAAAAACTGGCCAGCTAAGCTCTACCTGAATTCCCAACTCTCAAAATTGTGAGATTTTTTTAAATGTTTTTGTTTTAAGCCACTAAGTCTAGAGTATTTTGTTGTATGACTGATACTTAGAACAGATGACTATAGAGTTCCAGATTATGATAATTCTCCTTAGATGGTTGATGGAATTTACTCATGAGTTTCTGGCCATTGTATGTATGAAGCCATT